AAACTGGTAGAAAGTGGTCAGCAAAGAAATCTGTAGTAGAGGCAAAGGCTGCCTTTCAAATTAGGGATATCGTGGGACAGGTACAGCATGGAAGAGGGGGTTTTGGGCTCAGTTTAGCTCCTCCTAAATGGCACAAGGCAGGCCCAGCTCAAAGGAGGAAGCTGGTGGTCAACGAGGTGCGACAGCAGGAGGAGACGATGAGGTGTATAAAGGCCATTTCCCAGGCCAAGCAGGGAGAGTGGATGAGATGGGAGAGTGTGGAACAACGTAAGATGGGCTGGCAAGACCTTTGGTCAATGGAAGAGAGTAGGATCAGTTTCCTTATTAGGTCAACATATGATGTTCTCCCATCACCGCAGAACCTAAACCTCTGGGTAGGAGAGGATCCCTCTTGTCCTTTGTGTTCATCACCTGCCACATTAAGGCACATTTTGACAGGATTTAAGGTGGCTCTTAGCCAAGGTCGGTTTACTTGGCGCCATGACCATGTACTGCGATGTTTGGCTTTAGCATTAGAAGGCAAGCGTAACATGACCAATAAGTTGCCACCTGTTCTAGCAAAACATTACACGCAGAAGACAATATTCCTCCGCCCAGGCGAGCTACCACCAAGAAAAGGTGTTAACACCAATTCTCGCCCAGGACAACTGGAAGCTGCTAGGGACTGGAAGATGCTGGCTGATCTTGACCAACGGCTTATTTTTCCACCTGAGATTGCCACCACTAACCTACGACCAGATATTGTTTTGTGGTCTGGATCAGCACGCATTGTTCAACTGATAGAGTTAACAGTGCCATGGGAGGATGCGGTAGACGAGGCATATGAGAGGAAGAAACTGCGGTATGCTCATCTGGCCACTGAAGCAGAACAGCGAGGATGGAGAGTCCAGGTTTACCCAGTGGAAGTGGGTTGTCGAGGTTTTGTGGCACACTCTACAACCCGGTTCCTCAGAGACATCGGATTCAGCGGCCAAGAGTTGCGTCGCACAGTAAAGAACTTATCTAAAGCAGCAGAAAGGAGAAGCAACTGGCTGTGGTTGAGACGGAAAGATTCTAGCTGGCTGTGTACAGGCCGCCACGCTACGGTTTCGTAGAATTCTTGAAAACTTGAAGAGTCTGTTGGTTTGTTTGTATACGTTCCTGTGGATATTGCGTGAATGACGGGTGGTTGGGCAGATATTGTGTTTTGCGGTAGGTGGTATGCCATACGGAACCGTTGTCCACTGAAACTGCATATTAACGCACCAGTGGGGCTCGACAGCCTTAGTCAAACGGGTTGGCGCGTATGGTCGGGTTGCGGAGAGATTGTGAGATTGTGGTTAGGTCTCAGCAGCAGGAGGGATGTAGAGGTCAGTAAGCTGGGCTGAGTTGAGTGGGGGACGGAGGGGGGTGACACTGGGACGCCAGAGTCACTGTCGAGCCCTCTTGAGGTGTCGTGGGCTAGTCGACGAAACACTGAGGACGGAAGGTGCCCACTTGAAGACCCTAGAGATGTCCCCTACTCGGTTCAATCCAGACGGTTGTCGTGCTGGTCCTGTAGTTGCAGCCGTCGCGTGCGCTAACGCGCCAAGTACACTGCTGCCGTTAACGCCGGACAGAAGGGGAGTCACACCACCTTATGGAAAGAAGCGTAAATGGCTGGAGAAGCATAGTTTACTGTAAAGCTACGTCTTAGTTTTGCTTATCTTGGCGAAAGCCGATTACAAATCAGCATGAAGTTTTAACATCTACTCTCGTGTAATGGAATCATAATTATATATATATATATATATATATATATTGTCATTCTTGTGGCTCACCTGAATGAAAGGGTCATTAGTATGCAGCCCCATTATGCGGGCCCATTGTCTTCTCAGGTGTGAATCACAGCAGGTCACACCCCTGCGCATATTGCCTTTCCAAACAAAAAGTGTCATTTTTAAATTTAAACCAATCTATTGTTTTATGTGAATGATAAGGCAGGATGATTTTCAGATCATTTTGAAAAAAAAACTCTAGGCGACAACATCCATTAGTCAAAAGTCTTGTGGACACATATTTAGTATGTGTTTTGTGGCCTTATTTCAGAAACTTTAAGTTTTAGTTTTTTCAATAACCACGCATAAACAATATTCTCTCAAAAATACAAAAATGTACATACATGTTGATAACACATTATGGTAGCCCTGTTTGTGCTAAATAGAGTGTAATTACACCTTTGCCAGTAATATGTTTATAAGCAACTGAAAAAAGCACAAATGTCAGAGTATGTCAAAACATCTCAAGGACCCCAAAAACACCTTGGACCCCAGAGGGTTAATTCGTCTAGTTCATCTGTTTGTTTGGGTTCAGGCAGCAGCTGAGTCAGATCAGATAAGCTATTTGAGAAATGATCTATGGTGGATGGAAGAATTGTTCTACCTGGTCGATAACGTGGCGCAGCATGACATATTATAGCAGTACGTAATATGCAAGTTACCATGTAATGGTCCGTGACATCATCACTTTGTGGAATGATATCTATATCGGTTGGATCGGTTCCATATCATATAATTAAATCGAGTGTATGATTAAGACGATGAGTTGGTCTGGTGACGTTTTGCTTGACCCCGAAAGAGTTTAATAAATCTGTGAACGCAGCCCCTAACGCATCATTTGAATTATCTACGTGTATGTTAAAATCTCCAACAATTAATGCTTTATCGACGTTGACCAATAGATCTGATAGAAAGTCTGCAAACTCTTTTAGGAAATCGGTGTAAGGCCCTGGAGGTCTATATACGGTAGCCAATGCTAGAGATAATAGGGATTTTTTTCTTAGATCTAAGAGCGTAACATTTAGCACAAGTACTTCAAACGAATTAAACCTATGACAAGTTTTCTGAGTAACATTAAGGATATCTCTGTAGATTGTTGCAACACCGCCGCCACGACCGATCAGACGGGGCTCATGCTTATAACAGTATCCTGGCGGAGTAGACTCATTTAGACCGAAATAATCATTTGGTTTAAGCCAGGTTTCAGTAAGGCACAGAACATCGAAATTATTATCTGTGACCATTTCATTTACAATAACCGCCTTAGGTGTGAGCGATCTAAGGTTTAGAAGACCTAGCTTTAGAAATAGTTTTTGTTCACTAATAGCGAGATTTTTTGTTTTAATAACAATTAGATTTTTTCTTGATCCCACGGTAGATTTATTATTTGATCTCAGTAAACGAGGAATAGACACAGTTTCTATGCAATGTTCTACACTAGTATTAATATCAATTAAATTGGTGCAGTAGAGACTGTGATTTGGATTTTTGGTTACTAGTCAAACGGTATTTAACATCTTGGAGATGTTATGCGACAGAAGATCTGCCCCGATTCTACTTGGGTGTAAGCCATCAGCGCGGAATAACCATTCATTTAGCGCGAATAATCTACTGAACTTTTCATGCCCTTGTCGGTACGTAGGAAGCGGTCCAGACACAATAATCGATGTATCAGGTTCTGCGTACCGTATCGATAAGGCTCCTGAAGTCTTTCTTCAGAACCTCCGTCTGTCGCAGCCTAATGTCGTTAGCTCCCGCGTGCAGCACAACAGCTCCGACGCGCTCGTCACTGTTCAAGATCTCAGTTACCCGCGCAGTGATATTGAGAACACGAGCACTAGGAAAGCAATGACTGTGCACCTTACTTTTACCTAACGTAGCGTGGACGTGTCGGACCGTGGAATCGCCGATGATCACAGCATCGCGTTCCGTTTCACGAAGAGTGGAGAAGCGGTTCTGGGTGGAGATCTCGAAAACCGGGAGGGGCGAAAAGATTCTTGTCCTGGCACGCGGCTTCCGCGGAACCACCCAGGCTTCGTAGTGGTGTGTTGGAGCCGGGGTGAATGAAACCATTGCTGATCGTGACCTGGACGCTCGGGACCAATGCTGAGAAACGCACGGAGTAGACGTGGTCCGCGTCAGCGGGTTACTAACGTTAATCACTGATCCGTGTGCATCAGCGCGTGATGTTTCAAGAGCTAAACGCCGGTCTCTCAGCTCAGCTCGTCTCTCTAGAAGGTCACGAATCTGTTTTTCTACAGCCTCTAATTCAGACTGCACCGCGAGCAAATCAGATTTGTTCTCATCTGCACCAAGAGGTAGATAACATACATCTGATATATTCACCATTTTAACAGATGGACAGTAAGTTAGCAATGATGCAACCAGTGATGCTATTAATATTTATACTAATTTATGACTCAAGTCTTGGGTATAATCCGTCTTTTTAGTGGTACGGGTGTAATGTAGAGGCACAATAGATGGGAAAATGTTCGTTTGTAAATGAGTGTAAAGAACGCATCTGGCAATCGATCGTAGGGCAGAGCAGCAGTGAAGCAGTGTCTCGCTCTACAACCAACAACCAAATGTTCCAACCGTATTTGCGGTTCCAGCCGTATAATGGCTTGAGGCGCGTCTGGCCAACAGTTCGAGTTGTAATTATGAGTTAAATGATGGTTCAGAATAGAATAAAAGAAAGAAATACGGAAAAACAGAAGGAAATACGAAGCTAATACGAGGCTTAGACAGCCACGACGCAAACAAACTCACAGCAGGCAGCGAGGCAGACAAGAGCAATCGAGCAATCCAGAGTCCGTCTGAGCAGTTGTGTGACATAGTGCTAATTTCAAATATTCAGAAAATGTTTAGACCAAAGCTTTCCAACATGTAAAAACCTTTTGCCATATAAACACTTATTAGTCATGTAGTTTAATTGTATGCAACACTTTTAAGAGACTGGAGAACTTATGTTTTAAGTCATAATACTTAGGCTGTGTAATTGATATGGAGATTTAATTGTGAAAAGTAGAATACATGTAAACGACAAGCAGTAGGTGACATGAAACATTTTAACAAACTTGGAGAAACTTATTATACAGTGAAGTATTAAAGTATAAAACCCATCCCTCATCCATAACTTATATCTTAACAGTTACAGAAAGCTTATGCTAGGTTTCCGTATTCTTCTTCAGAACACACACGTGACTTGAAGTTACAGTCATGCAGACAAAACAGATGCTTTTGTTATAATATTACCAAAACAAACAAAAAAATCTTTTGCTGAAACCACAGAAATACACTTCTCCAAAATATGTTGATTAACTAGTTGCCAGCACTTGATCGTAGATCGAACTGATCCAATCAAATATCAGTTTTCAAAAGTTGGTAGTTGATCTTTGATCCCCTAGATTTGTAGAGCATCATTCCACACACCATGGCAACTACTGCTACGACACATCCAGCGACCAAAACAAGGTTCAGGTTCAAGCTTGGACTGATGGCCTCTGGAAACAAACAAAGGGACATTAGCATTTAAAATGCCTTACCTTTTGCACAATCTGCATAATATACCATGGTAAGGTTAAGACGTACCAGTGAGTGATGCGCTCCTCTTCAGCCGCAGGGGTCCCTGGGAGATGAAGTGACTTCCGGTCTGGATGGCAGCTTCTCTTTTGTGAACGTGCGAGGATGGTGCAATGGCCGTGCCGTTGGTGCAGCCCTGAGCACAGCGCGTGTAGGGATTGTTGGCTTGACATATGATAATGGAGCAGCTGATGAACACCTAGAGAGGAAATTCAAAAAACACATTCATTATTACAGTACAATAGAGCATGTATTTCGGTCTTCAGTGTTTTTATTTTTATTTTTTGTCCATCCTTACCTGGTCATGTTGTCCAATAAACTTGAAGGCCTCCATACTGAACTTGACATTGGGCTCGTGACTTGTGTAGATGTTAACGGTTTCATCAACCCCGCATCTTAAATACATTGACAAATTGGATTTGATTAATTTGTTGGAGAATGGCACTGCTGTCAAAGCATTTATTTTGCACACTTATTTACATTACATTCTTAAAAATAATGGTCTTTTTTTTGTGCCATTTTGTAGTATATTAATTTGATAAGGTTATTTTGTCATTCAACCTCGGAGTCTATTACTAAAATAACACTATTGGAGTGTTTTTAGTTTCTTACCCATTTGTGATGATGGGATAAGAGATGGGGTAATTGGGATTATCATAGGGTGTAGCTACACAGGACTCAAGGAAGACCTCAGTGTTTTGCACTAAATTGACAGGTTCGATCTCCATGTAGATCGCCTGTCCCACGTTGTACTCCAGTGGGTAGGTGTTGGGCATTCTCATGTTTCTGAAACTGCTAGTCTGATAAAACTCAAACTGATAGCTGAATGAGCCGAAGCCTCTCTCGGTGAAGTTGACAGCTTGCCTGTGAGCATCAAACATCGTGGTGATGCTGCTCTTTTTTTGGTACTTGCACATGACTTCAATTCCAATCTCATTTTTCCTGGTTATGATATGGTTTGGATCATCGAAAGTAACAATTGTGTTCTTGAAGAGGAGATGTTCCTCAGTCTCCTTCAAAGAAACAAGTTTAAAAGTAGTTTAGATGCAGTGTAAAACTTATTATTATTATTTATATCTATAGAAACTCATTGAACTCCTTACTTCGATTTGAGTACCGCATCCGGTAAGAGAGAAAGTTGTAAACACATGCGTGCTATTGGAAGAAACTAAACACGAAGCATTGTAGTTCAGCCGCAAGTGATCTCCATGGATCCCTGAAATAGTGGCTCTTTCTATTGACACCGACATTGTGTCTCTAGAGCAAGTCACTTGTGCTCTTGGACCTTGAACAAATAAAGAAAAATCGTGAGAATGTAGATAAACTTCCTTTTGCTTCAAGGAGACAATCAAATGTCAAGAATAATTTCAATAAAGGCTGTAAATACCTTCAGCCTCGACCACGACAATAACACACCTCATCTCAGACTGATAGTTCCTAGACCTAAAATTTTACGATTAATTAGCTTAATTTCATATGGCACATTTGGTAACACTTTACTTTCCTGTGTCCTTGTTACACATGTTACATGTAGTTACAGTAGTAATAACTATATTATGAATAATTACATGCAACTAACCCTAAACCCAACCCCAACCCTAACCATATAGTAAGTACATGTTCTTAATTATTTTTACACAGTACTTAATTGCATAATTACACTGTAACACGGACACCTTAAAATAAAGTGTAATCGCACATTTTGATTTAAGTAATCTAAATGTGTAATCATACCCATCTTGGCCCTCAGCAATGAAGCAAATTGGAAAGTGCTGGCCAAAATTATCTGATGTTGGTGTCCAGTTGATCACATACTCTCCCGTGGTGGTGGTCTCCTTTGTGCTGTTCAGAGGTCCACTAAAGACCACATCAGTGATGCTGGACAATCAGGGAAGAAAAGAGAATCCAATTAGATGCACATGTATCAGTTTAAAAATTGAACTAAAAATTGTTTTGGAAGTTACAGTGGTTCTTTTTGACTCCATGGCCCTTTACTCTCTACAACAATATTCACAGAAAGTTATTTAAAGAAAGTAGTAGTGTCCATAGATTTAAGGGGTCCTATTATGGTTGTTTTTTTTTTTTGTTGCTGTTTGAGCTTAACACTTAAATGCATACCTCAGGTCTTTAGTGAAACGGGACGTCATTCACTACCCTTCTCCTTATTAATTATAAAGAATGGTAGTTTTCCCATTAATTAAGGTGTGTAACAGTGTAAGTATATTTTTTCTGCACAACAATAATGTAATCTTTGATGACTGAACAAGTGCAATTCACCTTTATTCCACAAGGTAGCAATGTCTGATACACAATAATGAGGTAACATTTCACTCATAGTTACCGGAGGCAGAAAACAAAAGAATAGGATGTATCATTAGCAAAACTTAAAATGGCTCAGCAATTTACTGCAATTTACTGAACACAATCAAATATTAGTGTCACTGTCACTTAATGGTGGATCTGGTGAAGAAGCGGTCAGCGATCAAAATATTGATTTTAAAGATGTTGAAAAAGACAGTTTTGACAATATGTTTGAGATCGGAAATATGAGCCAGATGCTGAATGTACTGGGAAATGAGCTCTGATGAGGACAGTGATAATGGTATAAAACATCTGCTCAAACTGAACCCTTCCAAGCTCCAAAGGGTAACAAAATATGCATTATTTTATTCTTCTGTACTTGAGAGCTTTATATTATCGTTTCCTTCATACCTTGAGTAGGTTGCCGTAGCTTTTACTCTGATCTCTAGCTCTTGATTGACACGAGCCTGTAGGTGTTCTCCGTGATGAGGTGTTGGGTGGATGAACCGAGGTAGATATTCACCCTCAGTGCAAGATGGTGCCGGAGCCTCCACTAAACACAAAACATAACATGAAGGTTGTGGCAGAGCATCACAATTAAAAGCCTGGTTTCAGCACTGAACGGTACCTTCTAAAGCGAACTGGAGAGGTATTTTGCTCAGTGGTGGATTGGAGTATCCATTGACAAACGGGCTTCTGACCGCTGCGGCCATGGCAGTGTAGCTTAGAGTGATGTTCTGGGTGGGATAGTCTTCCATCACCAACTCAAATGCATAAACACCAAGTCCTGAAGAGTTGCCATATGACAGAGTACATGTGTTCTGGGAAGAAGAAAGATATGAACAGTGAATGATGCATTCAGTAGCAACCAAGTCAGCCGAAAACATGTGGAAGAATGAACGAAAACACTTCTTACTTTTGTATAATGATCAACATACATGATTGTACATTATTAGATATTCTCACCTGGTTCAGAGTGAATCCGGTAGGTTGGTTGCACATTCCACACTCATTTCCAGACAAAACTCCATATCTACACCTGACCTGATCATGATCTGGATCGCAGGACAACAGATTGTAGTTCCTCTGGCAGTTCTGAGGGACTCTAGAAACAATCCAAAAACAGTCATCTTGAAATGAGTTTGACATTTTTGTCATTTAGTACACAGGCTTCAAGAAGTACTTGGACACTGAAGACACATTTACACTAACACTTTTCTAAAACGTGTTTGCAATTACCAACAACTGTTCCTAAGGTGACTTTTACTGGATCATAATAAAAAAGGATAGGGTAAATCATAAAATCGAACAATAAAATAAAATTATACGAAATATACAAATAAAAACATACATTACAATGACATAATTGTGATATGTTGGTTAGATTTTTAACACGAACATTCTTATAGTGTAGGCCAGAGAGAGATCTTTTCAGATCAGATTTTTTTAATGATTCCTAAAAGCTAAAATACTAAAATCAATAGCACAGCTAAGCTTTAAATGATTTTTATAAATAAAAAAAAAAAGCCTGAATGAAGGTTGTACATTTCCTCAAGAAGAAGACTGAAAATGAGAAGTTTCAGTAGTACTGCATTGGGCATTAAAAGGCTTGCAGACGGAAAACTCTTTTGATGAAGACAAACTGATTTTACCTGACAATGGGAAGTGTGGTGGCGACTGGAGATCTGTTGGGCTGAGAGGTGTCAGATCTCACTCCAAGGTCAATTTGTGTTAGAAGTTGCCAGTTTCCAGAATATGAGACTGTGTTGTAGACCCAGCAGCAACTACTTTGGCTGTTGACACAAGCATAGACATTTCATTAGCAATGAATTCGTTTTATACTACCCTCAGCTCTATTAGATAATGGTGTGTCAGATTAGTCTTATTCCTCTGCATAAGTGCTTACTGCAGCTGAAACGGGCTGTTGTTTGGGACGGTTCTCTTCATGACTCCCTCAGTCTGACACCAGCTGCCACCATTGGAGCTGCTGTCTACACGACCACTCACATAACTTGTACTGCCACAGTTTCCAGACCTGCAACTCCAGTAATCATATGGATCACAGCCATGAAAGGCCTCCTTGAAGCGGATGTCCACCTGAAAGAATACATTTTTAATAACTCCTCAACATCCTTCATTTTTCTAGAATAAAATTATAATAAACATTTTACAATAAAATGGCAGATTACCTTGTCTTGCGTAGACTAATTTCATAACTACTAACTTATGTATCCTAAATACATATAATATTTCACAAGTCTAGCTTAATTGGACAAAATTACAGCCTGATTTTAAATGGCACACAATTAAAATATTATGTGATATTTTACAAACCGACCATAATATAAAGTTATCATAAAATGTATTATTATTTTAATGGTAATGCTTTTCATATTTTAAGATTTGAAGTCTAGGACAGTGATAAAATAATAAAATCTATACAAAAATTATTATTATTATGAAAGAATTTGAACTTGTGATATTTTTGTGACAGTTATATATATATATATATATATATATTTTTTTTTTAAATGGAAAAATACAAAAATCCCCTGGCACATAAAAGTCCACCTAATTGGAAAAACACCTGTTTGCGGTTGTGAATAAAGGTCTCACCTCATAGGATCCATCAGGATTGTTTCTTGAGCTGAAGGTCATTGAGCCTCCGTAGAAGTGAGAGGCAGTGGCTGTGGATGCCAGCATCAGCAGAGCTGAGAGCAGAGAGGAGACACTCATGATGATGATGATCCTTGCCGATCACTGCGCTGCCCTTATAAAGGACCTGATGGAGGAAGTCATCCAAAAACGTTTTCCAGTAAAGGAAAGAAAACCTATACCTCAATTCTACTCCTCCCTAAAGAATGATTGGCATGCAATTGTTTTGTAGCTCCATTGCATTTCTATACAACTGATCAAGAGGTTTGCGATTTGGAGATCTTTTATAGTTTCATTCATTTTTATTTTCGTTTTTATTTACTTCCACTTAGTGCTCCAAGTTTGTCCTTTAATATTTGTATTTTATTTAATTTCAGTTTTTTTTTCAATCAACAAAAAAAAAGAAAGTTACCAGTAATAGCCCTGCTACAGCGAATAAAAGCATTTTAATGTTTAAATGCTCTCCTCAGATGCAATCAGAATTAAGTAAAAGATGCCACAATATGTAAACTTATCTGGTAATCAAAAGTATATAAATCATGTTTTATGCACTCATGAATTATGTTGTTAAATCTTTAGTTGTCATGACACTAAGTGAGGGAACATATGTTTTCTTTTTCTCTTTCAATCCTAAAATTATAAATATTTATATTTAAAAATATTTACAATGTGTTGCAAATTATTATGCAAGTGACAGATTTTAGATAATTGGTATCAATCACAGATAGGTTTGTTAACTAGTTAACCATGTCTTCTAAGGTAAAGGTAAAAACCTGTTTAAAGAGGTTGTTCCACATTATTAAACAAGTGACAGTTTTTATGCAATGTGTGGAGGAAGAAAGATCTTTCTGAAAATAAAAAGGATGGAATGGTGCCACATCTTACAAAAGAAATAAAAACAAATACATTTTTGCAAAAACTTAATAGAGATTGTTGACCTGTCAACTGTCTGACTTTATCCAGTCAGATAAAGGCTTTTTAGGGGAAATTTCTGTCCAACAAATTAATTGTATATATATAAAAAAAGCCACCGTTGAGCAGCAAACAGGTATTTGAAGCTGCTGGTGTCTCTGGAGTCTCAAGCATCTCTCCATACAGGCTGGCAGTTGTGTGTAAAGATGCATTTCAGCCACTCCTAACCAAAGCTCACAAAAAGAAACGTTTGCAGTGGGTGTAGAAATACATTTTCAAACAGTTTTATTGCTGTGATGTTTTTTACAGCATGGGATAGTACGTTGTCCTGCATGAAAATCCTTTTATTTCAGAAGGCTCAATCCTTAGTTTTATACCATAGCATAAAGTGGTCAGTTATGAGCTCCACATGTCTTGCAGAAGTCATGACACCCTCAGAGACCCTAAAGGGACCTTCCATCTCACTTCCCAATATTCCAGCCCAAATCTTCACCCATCAGCTCCTAGCTGACGTCAAGGTCTTGTTGAAACGGGGTGGCCATCCACCAACCATCCAGAAATCCACCCATCTAGACCATCTGTTGAAGTACAGCATTCGTCAGTGAATAAAACTATTTAAAAATGAGTCTTCATGTATTTCTACACCTACTGTAAATGTTTCTCTTTGTGAGCTTTGGTTAGGAGTGGCTGAAAAATGCAACTTTACGCACAACTGCCAGCCCGCATGTAGAGTTTCCCAAGACTCCAGAGACACCAGCAGCTTCAAATACCTGTTTGCTGCTCAACAGTGGCTTGTTTTAAATTATTTATTTTTTATTTTTTAAAGCTGCCCTTTTAATACAATTAATTTGTTGGATAGAAACTTTCCTTAATAAGCCTTTATCTGACCGGGTTCTTATGTGCTCTTAATAACTCAGTTCAACAATCTCTATTCAGTTTTTAAAAAAATATTAGTTGGTTTCATGCCTTTTGCAAGACATTGGAGCATTTCATGCTTTTCATTTTCAGACAGATCTTTCTTCCTCCCCATATTTCATGAAAATTATGAATTTTTTAATAATGTGGAACAACCTTTAAAGGCACACTGTGGAATTTTTGGCCACTAGGGTGCGCTCGACCTGTAATTTTCACGTCTAGTGCCCCTAGAGGCCACAAGCGCCGCAGCATTGTCGCAAAAGTCAACAAACAGTCAACCGGTCAGCCTCCCGTGTCTTAATGTGTGTGCAGACGGCATTTGATTTGTATGTTGGAGAAAGTTAATCGATTCACTACTGACCAAAATAATAATATAAATATAAGATTAATAATATAAATCCTATAAAGAACACAAATTGAATAAAAGTAGCATACGCAGAAAACAATGTCTGATCAGGTAAGTCGCTTTGACAAGGGTTGCCCAATCCTGCTCCTGCCGATCGTCTGTCCTGCACAGTTCATCTCCAACCCTAATCAAACACACCTGAAGCAAACAATTAACGTCTTCAGGATCTCTTTGCAATGGGTTGGAGATGAAATCGAGTACTCGGGAAATCGTGTAACAAAACTGATATAACTCACTACATATTTCCGTTATTTGTAGTCTTCAGTTTGTTTTTCCTTTTACACAAATACAAACATATATGAGCTGAAAGGAAAAAAAAAACATTTACCTTTGTATACGGCAGTATGTTGTGACTTATATCAGTTTTGTTACACGAATTCGCAGTAAATATTACATTATATATACACTTTTATGCCGATGTTTATTTTAAACTCCCCCTTTTTCTTTTTTTGGTCTCCTCTGACAAAATTTTTGCTTTCTTCCGAGTAGCTGTTGATTCAGTCATGACGACAACATACAGACGTCGGCAATCAAACGCGAGTTGAGCTCTCACGTTAGAATTTGAGGAAGTTGGGGTGGTGGGGGAAGTGACGTATACCGTAAAGCGGTCGAATTTTGTAGTTCTTTTTGTGCTCGGGTTCCTACCCGAAACCCGAAGTTACATAGTGCTAGTAAAAGCGATACAGACACCTTCAGGCTTCGGCAGACGTGTCATTCAACCTATTGTAAGTCGATGTACCATCTCAATGGGTTTTGGTAATATATTATAAAGGTTGAAAAGTTCCACAGTGTGCCTTTAAGTAGGTTTGTCATTTTCCTAAGAAGACCTGGCAAACTACTTAACAAACCTGTCTGTGATTGATGTCACAAGAGATAAGGCAAACAAACTCTTTCTTCGAAAAACTAAAATCTGAATTTTTATTGTACTAAAATCTTCCTGATGTCACTAGCATAATACTTTGGAACACAGTTGTAACAAGGTTCAAATGTTATGGGAAGAAGGGGACGGGAACCGGAGAACGTTCAACAATTTTGATAAATAAATAAATAAATAAACAAATACAAAAATGAAAGTATAAGCCAGCAGCCCCTCGCGGACGACTGCTGGCTACACAAAACAGAAACAACACAGAACATAAAATCAGGCCTGTTCCTCTCTCAATCTCCACTGTCGTCGCTCCTCCTTTATGCCTCCGCTCCTCCGTGAGAGATACGAGACCGGTGCGTCTCACTGGTGTCGCTCATCAGCAATCACGCCACCGGCCTCGCGCCGCTCTCTCACGGCCCTCGGCCTCGTCCTGCTCGCCACAACAGTGTTTAGGTTTATATTATAGCATCAAATGAAGTATTTAATCTAGTGAAGACCCTGTGGAAGAGTTGCACACTGAACAAAATTATAACCGCAACACTTTAGTTTTTGCCCCCATTTTTAATGAGCTGAACTCAAAGATCTAAGACTTTTTCTATTTACACAAAAGGCCTATTTCTCTCAAATATTGTTCACAAATCTGACTGAATCTGTGTTAGTGAGCACTTCTCCTTTGCCGAGATAATCCATCCACCTCACAGGTGTGGCATATCAAGATGCTGATTAGACAGCATGATTATTGCACAGGTGTGCCTTAGGCTGGCCACAACAAAAGGCCACTCTAAAATGTGCAGTTTTATCACACAGCACAATGCCACAGATGTCGCCAGTTTTCAGGGAGCGTGCAATTGGCATGCTGACTGCAGGAATGTCCACCAGAGCTGTTGCCCGTGAATTGAATGTTCATTTCTCTACCATAAGCCGTCTCCAAAGGCGTTTCAGAGAATTTGGCAGTACATCCAACTGGCCCCACAACCTCAGACCACGTGTAACCACACCAGCCCAGGACCTCCACATCCAGCATCTTCACCTCCAAGATCGTCTGAGACCACCCACCCGGACAGATGCTGCAACAATCGGTTTGCCAAGATCCTGAATTTCTTAACCAAAGAATTTCTGTACAAACTGTCAGAAACCGTCTCAGGGAAGCTCATCTGCATGCTCGTCGTCCTCATCGGGGTCTCGACCTGACTGCAGTTCGTCGTCGTAACCGACTTGAGTGGGCAAATGCTCACATTTGATGGCGTCTGGCACTTCGGAGAGGTGTTCTCTTCATGGATGAATCCCGGTTGACAGCGTGTATGGCGTCGTGTGGGTGAGCGGTTTGCTGATGTCAACGTTGTGGATCTCGTGTCCCATGGTGGTGGTGGGGTTATGGTATGGACAGGTGTATGTTATGGACAACGAACACAGGTGCATTTTATTGATGGCATTTTGAATGCACAGAGATACCGTGACGAGATCCTGAGGCCCATTGTTGTGCCATTCATCCACGACCATCACCTCATGCTCATGTTGCAGCATGATAACGCACGGCCCCATGTTGCAAGGATCTGTAAACAATTCCTGGAAGCTGAAAACATCTCAGTTCTTGCATGGACAGCATACTCACCAGACATGTCACCCATTGAGCATGTTTGGGATGCTCTGGATCGGCGTATAAGACAGCGTGTTCCAGTTCCTGCCAATATCCAGCACCTTCGCACAGCCATTGAAGAGTAGTGGACCAACATTCCATTCCATAATCAACAACCTGATCAACTGAGATATGTTGCCTTGCGTGAGGCAAATGGTGGTAAACATCAGATACTGACTGGTTTTCGTCTTAGATCTTTGAGTTCAGCTTATGAAAAATGGGGGCAAAAACAAAAGTGTTGTGTTTATAATTTTGTTCAGTGTATTTTGAAAACTTGGCATGGATAAGAGATAATTTTTGCTCCTCTGTCATCACAGATGTTTAGCTTGATTACTCATATAATATCACCTTGGGTTTGCCAGGTCTTT